TCAAATTATTTTCAGCTTCATTTCTCTCAGCAAAACAATACAAATATTGAGCATGAAACCAAACAACAGTGAAGTCCTTCATGTGTGTCACCACCAGAAATAAAGAGAACAGGAAAAAAAAAAAAGTAACCAACAGACTCCTTTCATTATTTCACTTTGGTCTTTTTAACATAAATATTTCCATGAAAGCTTGACCAAGATGAGTGTTTGGGAGCAGCAGGGCATCTTTTTAGGACAACAGATTTGAACAATACTTGGGGCACACAGACTCTAGAGCCAGGCTCAGCTAAAAGGAGAAGCTTCAGTCCCACCAAACAGATATGGAATTGCTGAATCCCTAAATATATCCACAGCCAAACTGTACACATCACACGCACCTCTAATCTCACGGCAATCAACAGAGCAATTCCTCTCCCAATATACCTTAATCCACACAGATCCTGGTCTGAAAATACTTGGCTGTGGGTTCTTTAGGATGAGAAAGTCTTCCTCCCAGATTTACAGATGCTTTGTTTGCACAGAAGATTTTATGACAGCTTCTGCTTGCTGCCTTCAGGGAGAGACTGAGGAATAAGATTTGCCACCTCTTTGCTCCTGAGGAAGCAGCTCATACCTCATACCATACCAGCTTTGGAGCCATCTCCTTCCCTCAGTACACCATAGCAATAACACACAATGAGGAACAGAAGAAGAAAATTAACACTAATTTGACCCAAAGCTGCACTACAGCACTGGATTCCCAAAGTGTAGGGGTGGGACCAATGCCTTGCAGGAAATCACAGTAAAAACGGCGCAAATATATTTACAGTCTCCAGCATCCTGTGGGTGGCTACAGACCAGAGAAGCCAGAAATCTGAGCCATACAGATCTGTCTGCATCTGCTGTTGAAGCAGCTATCCACCTCGTGCAGCCCCCTGTAATGCCCCATGGGGCTCCGCATCACCCAGCCTTCACCTGCCTGGGAGTTCTGCCTTTGAAGATGGGATTTTATATCCACTAAGAAGCAACTGTTATTAAATCATCCTCTAGAAGCCCCCCAAAAAGATGACTATCTATTACTACTACCTCTAGGACCAGATGAGCAGTGTGCCATGGAGCGGCAGATGTATGACAACTGACAACATCACAAACCCCAAGGCTTGTGCCTGAAAGCATTGCCTTACTGTGGATTTCTTCAACTAGCACTGAAATCAGTTAGAAAGCATTGGCAGGAACATGCTGGCTCTCTCATCTCAAAAGCAGTGTCCATTTTCTAATTGCTGGTATTTTACCAACAGATGTCAGGGAACACCGTCTGGGGATTTAGAGGGAAGGACGATACCTTTTACAGAGAGTTACTGTAGTTTGGGGAACCAAAACCAGTTAAAGATAATGAGTCATAACAGGAGGTAGTTACTGTAAATATTCCAGGCATGGGCACATTAACAACCACCCACTAATCAGAGGCAATGCCACAGGCAGACAGAGAACTCCCACTGGTGTCACTGGGAATTTTGAATGGATCAGGACCTCAGCCAAGAGCTGAGTATCTATTGTAACCCACGGTGTTAATATCCAGGATGGGGTGGGTCGCGCTGCAGATTTTGGCTGTCACTTCCCAGTGGGCGATGCAGGCATCTATTCAAAGGGGATCTGCAATCTCAGACTTCAGACAGGAGACACAGATTTCTTCATGATGGGAAGCAAAGAAAAAACCATTGAGTTTAACTCCTCATTCCTCAGCATCGTTAAATGCTTACAGCACAAACACAAGTTCTGATGCAGAGGGCAAACCCAAAGAGACTCCAGTTGCATACATCAGACTGTGGCTGGTGAAGGGCTGTCAGTATTTTGGGGTTGGTAGTTGTGACTTGGGATGCAGAAGCACTGGTACCCAAACTTTTGATAAAGCCTCCCACCAGAGCTCCTAGCACACCAACACTGTGCTCCCTTCCCCCTTCCTGCACTGCTCTGCACTTGCTGCTAATTTTGATTCCGTGGCCTCAGACCAAGATGTGGTCAGCTTACACATTGCCTCCGTGCTGCTCTTCTTCAGCCCCTCTCAAGTAAGTTGCTTTCCCATGATTCAGTACCATAGAAATATAACTGTTGAGATCAGCTTCTTTATTTTTGTCAGCTTTTCTACAGACCTTTCAATCATAAGCTGCATTATACTACGTTCTCATAAAGCCAGAAAAAGCAGTAATAGATATGTCAAAATCCTGACTTCTATTTTTCCTGCCAGGTGATTTCTTTAAGTGCTTTGTTTTCTCCTGTCACTAAATTAGAACAGTACCTCTATTTCCAAAGCCTTCACCCTCACTGTCACTATTTCAATAGGCTCTTCTCACATTAGAGCTATCAGCTTGGAAAATACTCCTCCCATTCTGCTTTTTGGAGAAGAAAATATAGTCTGTATTTTGTCACTGCTTCTGGCTGAGGTTATCAGGCTTCTGGGCAGAGCCACCCAACTTCCTCACAGTGACAGTGAAGTGACTGGAAGGGACCTGCCCGTGTCTGCCCTGCTGGGGGAAGATGATAGCACATAATCCAATTGGCAAAAAGAAAACCAAATGCAGACGAATCCATTCCTCAGATTTAGTTTTAGATCCTCTCCGCCGTCCCTTGGCTTTTCTTGGAGGAGCCACACAAATTGCAGAACAGCCCTGGAAAGAGTTTGGCTGCAACGCTGGGCAGCACGAGCTCTTTACAGCCCAGATCCAAAGCCCAAAGAGCACTGCAGCATCTCAGCTCACTTGCCAGTGCCCTACATCCTCCTGCTGCCCTGTGCTTCTTATCTAAACAAGAGGTTAACAGAACTGCACTCAAAACGGGTCACATTGATACATTCCCAAACAGAACACTGAGGACACTGGATGTGCCTTTCTCATAGTGCAAAGCAAAGGTTTCTAGGGGGAGATTTGGGGATAGACCCCCACCTGGGGGGCATCTCCACACAGCAGCTCCACAGCTCAGGAGGAACTTGCATGGAAAGGTGGGCATCTCGGACTGCAGAACGCCAATCCATAGGCTGCATGGAGTCTGGAAGAGCTAACTCTTCAACATCCACAGGCAGCTATGAAAGCTGCCAAGTCCAGAGCAAATCAGCCCTTATGAGATTTTCCAGGCAGGACCCAGAATGTCTGAAGAGAAAACGGGCCGTCCCTCTTGGGTTTAAGAGAAAAATGCCACCAGAGCTATCCCTTTAAAAGCAGGTTTTGGTCCTTCTGTCACACTGCACAACCCCCTGAAGCCACCACGGGCTCTGTGTGATATAATCCCACTGAAAATATCCAGGGTGAGAAGTCACTACATGCTCCATAGTGCTGTTTCCTACCAAAATTCACAGCCTCTCAGGGTCCCACAGGATCCATCAGGCTCCTCAACACAGACCCACCCAAAAGCAGGTGGTAGAAGATGCCACTAACACCTGGCAGAAAGCAGCTCCTTGTTTCAGGGCAGAGCGTGGCCATCTGAGTTGTGCAGATTGCACAGCCCCAGCCCAAAGCTCCTCCTCAAGGGAGGAAGGCCCACACTGCTCTCACTAGCAAAGCTCAATGCCTATTGTGCAAACCCAGCCCTGTGTTCACAGCAGGTATTAAAATCACCTTGCAAGATGGGATTCCTCCTGTGCTATCTCAAGCCAGTCTCTATTGCATGGTGACAGAGAAAGTTTTTCTTGCTGCCTCCAAAGGAGCACATCCATCTCCTGCAAGCAGTATCAGCACCAACAGTTTCCCTGAGCATTCTCAGCATACACACCTCCCATCACCACAGGAATCGCAGCCCTGCGTGTCTTACTGCCTCAGCAGCAGCAAATACAACTGCCTGTGCATTTGGAAACACACACATCAAGGGGCTGCACACAAACAATTCCAAACCCAAAGATTTCAGCACGACTCGTGATCGCATCACAGAACAGGAGACTAAGTTAAAGAGTAAGTTTTCATGCAAGTATGGCAAATCCTTTGTGTGCTGGGCTGTAACAGCTCTAAGCATGTAAAATAAATCCCCAGAAATGCAAGAATCTTCTATTTTTTGTTATGTGATAAATTATTTAAAGGGCGTTTTGGTGAAAAAGGCCAATGTATTAAAAAAAAAAAAAAAAAAGCTACTCAACATCAAAGAAAGTAATTTAAAGACATTTGGAAAATGGAAGATTTTCGCAATGCATCTGAATGGCAGGCTTTGCTATTTTTATGCAATAAAATAAGGAAAAGTCTGGTGAAAATAGCAAGGGTCTCAGCAAGATGTAGCTGAAGGAGAAAGATAGGGTTAAAAAAAAGTATATAAAACGAGAGGCGTTCAGCACCAACTTCCAGGATCAAGAAACTCAGAAGTTTGTCGTTTGTTTTTAAAAGATGAAATAAATAAGAAGAACTAAAAGGATAGATCGTTTGGGTTTGGCCGCCCAGACTACGAGAAAGTAAATGACGGCAGAGCGTTCCCTTTCATAAAGCAAAGAAGTGAGGAACTGCCGTTTTCCCTCACGCTAAGAGCGTGCCCTTCGGCCGGCTGTCCCAGCAGCAGCAGCCACACCGCCACTCGCGTCCATCCCAACACACGGGGAAAGAACTGCTCCCGGGATGCCCGCCCCGCACACACGCACTGCCCCAAAGCTCACTCCCACGGCCCTGAGCGCTGCAGCCCGGGCAGAGCCACCTGTGTGTGCCCCCCCGGAACGGGGCACCCCGCTAAAGGAAAAGGGGTCCGCATGCAGCCCATGCCCCCCCGTCTCCATGGCGATCTCCCAGCGCGGTTTGCGGGGAGGAATAGGGAGAGGGGGGGGACACGCACTTTCCTGCCGCATTGAGCCGGGCCGCCCCCCCCCCTCCCCCTTCCCACTCAGCGCCCCGCACCGCGCCCTCATCCATGCCACGAGCGAGGGAGGGGGGGGGTGGGGGTACCCCAAAGTACGGACTTGGGACCGGAGCGATGCCCCCCTCCCAGCGGTAAGGTCGGGCTGTCCGCGGTCGGGCCGGGGAACATGCTGGGGAGCGGAGCGGCTGCGCCTGCCTTACCCTTGGAAGCATCTTTCTCTTCTTTGGGCTTGATCACCTTCCCGCTCATAGACCCCAGCTTGGGTGGGAAAATCCCCAGGAGCTTCGCGGATTCCGGCTGGACCCAGAGAAACCTCGGGCGGGGGGCAGCGTGCGTGCAGAAGAAGGAGGGGGGGGGAAGAGGGGGGAGAATCCTCTGTACGCCGAAAAGGCAGAAATCACACGGACGGAAAGGGAGGTGGAGAAAGAGAGAGCGAGAGGAGGGGGAAAAAAAAAATGACAATAATAATAGGAAGAGAGGAGGCGGCGAGCTGCCCGCTCCCCGGCGCGGTGCCGCCGCGGTGCTGCGGGAGCGGAGCGGGCGCTGAGCGGGGGGCTCCGGCAGCCGCAGCACCGAGCCCCTGCGCCGCTCGCCGTGCCGGAGACAAAAGCGATTTTCCCTGTATGTGTCTGCCTGGCCCCGGCCCCCTCCTCCCCCCGCCTCTCTCCGGCTCTGCCTCTCCTCCCCAGGGCCAGGGAAGCGCAGCCGGTCCTGGGAGTGCCACCGATCAGCGAAAGGGTGTGTGTGTGTGTGTGCGTGAGAGTAGGGGGGAGGGGGGGTAAGCGCCTGGGTGGTTTGCTTGGGTGTGTTGGATTTTTGGTTGGGTTTTGTTTTTTGCTCGCAACCTCCCCTAACAATAATGGGATGGAGCAGCAGAGCTGCAGCCGCGGATGGGAGGAGGAGGACGCGAGCGTTCGGCACTGCAGAAGAGGCGGCAGGTTTACAGCAACGAGCCGGAGCTGCCCCCCCCGCCCCCCAAACGCCCGGTCCCAGCACCCTCTCCCCATCTCCCAGCCCGAGTACCCAGTGGGGCAGAGTGGGGGAACAAGGCGCATCCCTCCTGCCCCTCAGCTCTGGGACGGTGCCCCGGCGCCAGGGGGGTAGGCGTGACACAGAGCCGGCCCCCACCATTGGGGTGCCCCTCTCAACGCCCCATTTCATCACGGGGAGGCTCCGGGCCGCAGCCCGACAGCCTGTTGCTGTTCAAAGGGAAGCGAAAAGCCAGGAGAGGGCGACGAGGGACGGGGGAGAGGATGAGCTGGAGTGAAAAGGGGGACCCGCTCTGTCGGATGGGGTTCTCCTCACTGCTCCGAGAGGAGCAAGGGACTTCCGACAGCAGCCGAAGCTCCTCTCACTCCGGCTAAAAAAGGGCTTCCCTCCTGCCTCGTTCTCTACGGCGGGGTGGGGCAAAGCTTCCTTGGAGCGGGGCCGCCGTCGGGGGAAGAAGCACGGCTCCACATCTCGCACCCTCTGCCCCGCGGGGAGGGCGGCCGGGGGAAACCCGATGCAACCCCTTGGAGCGCCCGAAATAAAGTGCTGGGAAGGGAGAGCCGCGAAACGCCCAGGGCAGCTTGACATGCCCCAGTTCTCCAACGGAGCTCGTGGCGAAACCAACGGGGAGACGCGGCAGAGCAGAGCAAGGCCGCTGTGGAGGCAGCACGCTGAGGGCACGGCAGTGCTCGCCCCACCTACCCCGCCCCGACGGCAGGAGAAGCGATCCTCTCACAAGCGCAGCCCCGTGCGGGGGTCTCCAGCCCTGGCTGCGGCACCAACAGGGCTGCGCGGCCGCTATTTTTAGACGAGCCGAATTCTTTCCCCTTCACCCTCCCTTCTCTCCAACGCAGCGCCGCGGACAGCTGAGAGCAGATCGGCTTACGTCGGGACCGGTCCTACCCCTACCCCCGGCCCTACCCGCAGCACAGTGCGGCCGTCCCGCAGCGCAGCACGGGGAGAAGGCAGTGCTGAGCCCCGCAGATCCTACCTCACCTCCTGCAGGTGGTGCTGGGCCGGGTGTGATGGCAGAGCCGTGAATACGGAAGTCAAGGCTGGGGGAGCTGAGGTTGAAGAGGCAGGAGCAAAACTGCTGCTTTTGTGCTTACGCTGATTACTTTTCCTTAAGTCATACACCAAGCTCCAAACGGAGCTCTTGGGCAGCACACCTCCAGCCCTCCGTGTCTGCAGCAGCACAACTTCTGCTCTGTTTCTGGATCTGAGGAGTTGCCCTGGCTGGTTTGGCTTTGCTTTGCAGATACTCACAGAGCCCTCTGATGATGTTATGCTTCCAACGTAGCTCTGTTTTACTCGAGTCTTTTCTGTGATGCCTCTTTAATGCCTCCAAGGCCAAGCGGAAGGGCTTCAAGTTGGACTTTCTCTTGGCTGTTTCTCTCCAGACAAATGGGCCACTGAGATTAGAGAACTGGAAGGAGAGGCTGTGAGGCAGTGTTGTCAGATCTCACTGCTTTGTGAGTTCCAGAAAGGACATTTCTGCTCTCCGGTCCTCAGCCCCTGGTTTTCAAAGGTGCTGTGAGGGGAGTGACACAGTTCACACTTCTGGTCCAAGGTCTTTCCAGCACCTCCCTAATAAATGCTGTGCTCGGCTCTGGCAGAGCAGCTGCCTTCCAAGAACCGCTCTCACCTTTGGCAGGTGGTCTTTATATACTACAGGAGTTATTGCATTGACCAAATGAGGCCTGTATACTGAAACCAAGCCCTGGAAGGAGGTAACAGCTCAAGAGGAGCGGAGGAAACGTTCCCACTGGTGGGCAGAGCCAGCTCAGCCCACTTCACTCTGAAATGAGCTCGTTTTTCCCTTCACTGCTCTGCAAGGCTTAGAAGTGTCAATTACATCAGTAATAAAATACGGTGTTATGCATGAAAAATATACAGGGGTTAGCATGAAGGTTTATTGCAGCCTGGATGCAATTTGCTCAGCCTTTTCTTTTAGAGCTACCTTGTTCCAGTGGAGAGAGTGTTTGGGGATGGGATATGAAAGTCTTCAGATCCTCAGTTCTGCGCTTTGCTGTGGGCATCTCTGGATAGGAGGCTTGACAAATGGTCTGGCACTGCAGCAAAATTGTAGCTAACTCACAAAGATTTAAACACTAATCTGGGCTTAGTATCTCTGTACATCACTTCCCCACCTATAGTAGGGGAAAAACATCACCTCATTGCTTTAGAATCCTTAACACTGAAAGCTGAGAAGCATGCAGGTGCTGTGATGATGGAACTGATACAGTGAGCTGCTACCTCAGCTAAGCTGATGCAGAAACATACCCATACCCACGTATCCATGGCTCTTACATGGAGACTGTATTTCTCACTAACACCACTCCTGGAGTTTCTGAATTTGAAACTGTTTCTGGGCCTCCTAATAAATCAGATACCCAGAGGAAGAGAGTTCTGTGAAGTTTGATATGAAGAGGTCTGATGCATGCTTTGCAAATGCTGCACAGGCACTCCCTGCCCACCTGTATGGCTGGGGAAGGCTTACATTCAAGTCTGTCTTTGGTGGGGGGAACCTGATTAAAAGCCAGATATACTCAATGTCTCTAATTATCTTTCATGCTTTTCCTAAGATTGTAATGGAGTCAACTCAGCTGAGTGGCAAGAAGCCAGCGGTGCAGCACCAAGAGTGGAAGCACAGTCCCTTTTAAGGTGCCTGAACTCTCCTACCCAGAGAAATAACAACGACTGCCCCAAGCACAGCACGGTCTCACAGCTCCAAGTGTGAAGTGAAACACCAGGCTTTCTCAGCAGAGGGACACAGCAGCAGGTCATGTTTGGGCTCTCCGAGTGCTCCCAGCTCAGGGCTGCTCTGTGGAAGCAGCACAGCGGAGCAGTGCCGTGCAGGGCTGCGCTGAGCTTTTATCTCCCAGAAGTTGGAGATTGTTTACAGTCTGAATCTGTACATCCTGGGGGCCTTTGTACAACATAACCATTTTAATGTCCAACAACGGAGTGATTTGCCCATAAAACTCATCCTCAAGGCACACAGATGCTTTTGCTGCTCTATTAAAATGCCTTTAGAGATATCTGTCCCTGAAGGATTCTGGACCTCACAAAGCTGTGGTAGGGGTGTTTGTTCCCATGGTTCTTTGCCTTACCCTTAAGTAATAGTTGTCTCTTTTCTGAAGGCTCTGGATTGTAGGAGGTCCAGATTCTGCTGCTTTCAGTAGTGGGAATTTTACTTTAAAGCAGTCTAGCAAGATTAAATTAGCTTTGTTATGATGATTTCTGGTATGTTCCCAGTTAAATCTGAAGTAAAACTTTCCCTGTATTCAGGTAGAGCAGGATTAAGCATTAAATTTAAGATTCCAGGCATAATAGGGTCTCACAAATACACGTACTTCATTTCAAATGCCGTTTTTAATTTATACTGGCATCCAGAGGCATTTATTGCTTTCCATAAAAGAAGTAAATGATTAAGTGGGCATGTCTGAAGTTTTGTTGCCGCTTCATGGTAACGGTGTCTGTAAAGTGGGTCCGAATAAATCTATTACACAACCCCACTTCCTGGCCTGCTGCTATTGCAACTGGAATTCAAGGGCAATGTTTCTCATTGCCAGTGTGTATTTTAACCAAAAGAACCAACAGAATTCATAGACAGGAGTAGACTAAATAGTAGACTATTCTCTAGCCGGCACATCCAATGGGTGTCTATTTGTTCCTATCTTCACCATTCCTATTCCTTTGCAGTCTCATGCTCTACACAGAGGACCTCTTTTTTGGCAGAAAGCATGCTGTGCAGAATATTCCTCTTTTTGTTTGCCAAAACATAACTGCTATATGCAAATAGAGTTCCAGCTAATGGATAGTATGGAGATTGCAGTTTAATTTCTCTAAATAATTCCGTCTGATAAACAGAGAAGCCCTAAGCAGACGCTTGTGGTGAGGGATAATGATCATACTCACATGGTGAATCTCTCACCTATTTACTATGAATCATTTCAATTAAAATTAATGGGCATCAAGCATTCTGTGCTGCGACCCCAGCACTTTGGATGGCTCCTCCAGGCTGAGGAATGTGCTCAGCACCAGGGAAGTGGCACATCCCACATTGCTGTGGAATGAGCCTGCTGGCTGATCAAGCTTGGGAAAATGCAGAGCAAATCCTGTATGGAGCACCAGGCTGGTGGGAGGCCTTTAGTCCCGGAGATCAAAATCTTCCAGTCTGGAAGTCTAAAATAGACCAAGCTTGAAGGTCTTTTCTGTTTGCAACTCAGTACATCTACTAAGCAGATTGTTCACAGTTTGCAGATATGCATTTCAGTAACAGAGTGGGATATTAGTTTTCACGTTTAAGTGGAAACAAAATAAACCCAAACAAATTCTTCTTACAACTCTCAAAAAACCCGCAAAGTAGTGGCTTAATGGCTTTATATGAAAACTCAGGGCTTTCCTCCCAGCTAACAAAACTTTTAAATTCTTACAGTAGACCTTGTTTTAAGTCCTGGATTTGGTTCCCTCTAGCAGATGATCATCTGTTTGTAAGGCTGCCCCTCTGCTCCTGAAGTT